GTGGGAACAGGTAGAAACAAAGGGAGCCAAGAGTGGCCAGAAGCCAAGGAGGCAGAATCCTTGGCTGGGGCCTTGGAGGTTCTGCAGGGGAGGCCACTCTCACCTGGTAACCCCTGGGCCATAGGTTAGGGCAGAAAAGCCCTCTCCAGGCACAAAACCGGCATCCTCTTGCTTTAAGTGTCTACTCAAATTCCACCTTACAGAAGTCTTCCCTGCCCACTGCAGTTTCAACAGTAACACCCTGCACTTACTGTCCTCCGCTTTTCTCCTGTCCTTTCTCTACTCTTCTCCTTAGCCCTTATTATCACCTGCCAAGTACTTGTTTATTGTTTACTTTTTGTTGCCCCTCCTGTGAGGCAAACTTCAGAAGGATTTGGATGCTTGTTTTGGTCTTGTTTAAATGCCTCCACAGTGCCTTTCTGAGGGGATAGGGGGTCCAGCAGAAGCTGCCTCTGCTCTTCAATTCCAGGTCCAGGCAAGTGGCAGAGCTCCTCCACTGAGAACTTCATAGGCGTGGGGGGAGGTGGAGTCTCTTTCCGGAGTTTTCCCCTTTGCACTCCAAGGTCCTCGATTAGACAGCTCTTCCCTGATCCTAAAGTGTGGAGGAAAGGAGCTTTGTGAACAAGTGTAAATGAACAGATGTACAAGTAGGAAACAGAACCACGGGAGGCCAGAGGCCCCGTAGTGTTTGGATGCCACGTTTTCAACCACGTTTATGATGCTGGGCTCGAGGGACCTGTCTGCTAGTCTGGCTAAACAAAGATTCCTCCCCGCTGTGCCCAGCTCTCTCTCTATTTTCCTTTTTCTCCTTCCCCTCTCCTGTCACCTGCAGCCCGACAGTCCCCCCAACCCCCCACCCATTCATTTCCCAGGAAAATAAATCTCTGGGAGGAGGCTGGGAGAGTGGATCTCAGAGAAGCCTTCTGAATAAATGTCTATATTAATGAATTATTAACTCAGCCACCCATGACCTTAAACCTAGAAGCCAGCGCCGAGGGCAGAGAGGAGAGCTACTGAATCCTTTATTGGAGTCCTGTCAAAGGCAACGGACCATTTGTTCCCCCTCCTCCGTCTGGAAAAAAATAATACGAAAGGCATACTTTAAAACTGCATGACAAACGAAATCAGACAGAGGGTTCCCCATCCAGAATCATCTTCTCGGTTTCCCGCCCCTCCCTGCCACTCCCTACTGGTTCTGGCCTCCTGTCCCCTTCTTCCCCTCCCCGTTAGGGGTACAATGGGCTTACTAAGGATAATTTTCAGGTGAAAAAAATTGTTCGAGAAAATGATGAATTTGGGTAGTTAATTTATCGATCCCGCTCTTCTTCCCACTTGTTTTATTTTAGAGGTCATTAATCAATGAAGAAAAACACCACCGTGTCCCCCCGTTTGCATTTAATACACTCACGCTCCTTATTTATTCCTCCTGAACAAATTCCCAGCAAATATGCACCCATCGATTTGGGAGCGATGGATTTTTATAAAGGTTTGATTGCTTCCTAAGTGGTTGAAGTGATTTGTTTCCGTGGTCTTTTTCTAAATAATGAAAAGGAGGGGAGAAGATTTGAGGGGTGCAGGCCCTTGTGGTCGGTGGGCACTCTTCTAAAAACCGCTGAGCCGTGCCAGCGCGGCGGTGGCTGGTGGGCGCAGGATCCGCTGGGTGAGCGAGAAGCGGCCCCCCGCCGCCCTGGGGGCGCCCGCGGTGGGCAGGGCTTCGCGGCCCGGGCCCCGACCCAGCCCCGCCGGCACCCCCCCCCCGTCCCAGCAGCGCCCCGCCCCGCGTCGGGCCCCGCCGAGGGAGCGCTGCGGGTGCGCGCGTCCAGCTCCACCCCGCCCCCAGGTGACCTTCCCGCGCGCTCCTGGCCCCCCGAGCGCCCCCTCTAACTTCCGCTCACCTCCACGCTAGTTCCCTAAGGCCTCTGGGCCCCCAGGACCCGTGGCCCCGAGACCTGAGTCCGCCCGGGGCCTCTGGGGAGGCCTGGAATCGGACGAGTCAGGGCCACTACACACAGGCCTCTCCCCCGGTCCCCGCACCACGGGGAGCCACATCTCCCCCGAGGGGTTCGCACAGCCGTCCGGCGTCACTCCGAAGGTGAGAGTAAATATTTGACCAGGGTGGGCTGGGAAATGCACTTGGCGCCTCACTGACCCGGGTTTGCATCTGCCTCCATCACTCATTAAGGGCGTGAACTTAGGCAACCTGCCAACCTTTCTGAGCCTCAGTGTTCGCATCTGCAACAGGGCGGTTCATGAAGGGCTTTCTCCGCGTGGTCGCTGGGCGGACTAAATGTACTTGAAGAGCCTACTCGCCCCTGGCGTGGAGAAAGCTCCCCTCAACCGTTCGGGCTAATCTTATTACGTCCCACAGCGAGGGCCGCGAGAGGCCTCGGGAAGCGTCTCAAAAATCCTGAGATTTAAAAGTGCGTTTGCGGGGCGGTACGGGAAGGAATTTTTTGGGATAGCCAGTCCTGGGACCGAACGCTTGTAAGTAGACATTTGGGCAAAAACAAGAAGGCCGTGGGCCGCTACCACGGCGTCGGGCTCCCATTCCCGGTGCTCCCTGTGTCTCCCAGAAAACAGAATCTCCTCTTCGCTCAGCGGTGAAGCGCGAGAGTGTGAGAAAGCGAGTTGGCATCTTCTCCCGTGGCCCCAAAGCTGCTCTTCGGCAGCTGTGTGAGCAGAAGGATTGAACCGGGCCTGCAGCTTCATCCTCTCCTCCGGGTGTTGTTCAAAGCCCCCTGAGACTGCCCGGTTAGCCTGGGGGTCCTCAGCACCGTGGGGTTTCCCTCGTGGTGTTTGCTTTAACGATCCAGAGGTGACTGATGACCGTGTCACAACGACGCCAGTCAAAACATTTTCTGTCCAACTTTGTTCCAACCGGCATCGAGACAGCCTGCGTGAGACCCGGACAGTCTAAACAGCGCATTTCCCAGGCTCAGAAAGAGTGCTGGGAAGCCAAAAAGAAACAAGCAGAAATCAGCAAAGAATGGCTATTAATTGTTCAGAGTGGCGGGTGCTAAAGAAATTGGTTGGTTGGGGGGAAGACAAGCGACATTTCTTCTTTGAGATGTGGGCACAACTCCGGCGATGGGAAGCGCAGGACCGGTCAGTTTCACACACCCTTTGGGTGGTCTACCCCCGCCGAGGGCTGCAAAAGCCTGGACGAGCTGGGGCCTGATTCGTGGATGTGAGACCAGCATGGAAGCGCAGCCAAAGCTCCCAGAGTGTGCAAGGCGCGGGTGGGGCTGCGCCCGGATCCTGCACCTGGACGCCAGGTTTGGGACGAGAGACCTATACATGATGACTCCCCCGGACAGTCGGGCAACCAAAGGCAAATAACCTCGCCTGTGTTTGGGAGCAGTAGTTCCACCAGACGTAGCTCCGGATATTTGCCTCGGATGCCAACAAGAAGGAGCGAGCCCACAGGGCGACAAATCAGGAGTGGGTGGGCTGAGCGCTGGGCAGTGTGGGACTCCATTGCAGCCGCCTCCCAGACCTGCGGCCAGTCTGGAGTCCCGCCGAGCCCAACCACCGCCCTTGAGAGACCCTCGGTCCCACGCCGCCTGGCTCAGCAAGGCTGGCCTCCTGCGCTGCCGACGGAGGGTTTCATAACGGCAACCCTCTCCGCCCCCGGCTCCCCCCACCTCCAGGATTTAGGGTAGAGGTTGCGTGGCGGTCTACAGGACTCTAGCACCCAGCAGTACTCCCGGAAATACTGAGTCCGGTAAAAGTGCAAACCCGGTCCCAGGACTTGGTCCGTTCGCTCGGCCGCGCGCTCCTGCCCCGGAGCGTACGCCCGAGCGCGTGCGGAGATGCATTCCTGTTTGCGCGTTTCCACGGCTTTCGGAATCAGGCCAATGAGCCGGTAACTAAAAAAGACTTATCATGGGCAGAAAGAGACAACAGGCGAGCAGGAGACTCACGCCAAAAAAAAAAAAAAAGTAGTGGGAAGGAGGAGGAGGTATTTGTGCAGGAGAGGCGCCCAGGCAGTGTGTGGATCCAGCCGTTAGAACTTCCTTCTCCCCTCTCCCCTCCCCTTCGTTCTTCTGCCCTGCCTCTCGCCTCCCGCCAGCCCCCACCTCCCGCTCTCGTTCCCCCCCCCTACACACACACACACACACACACACACACACACACACACACACACACACACACTCACTCACTCACTCACTCACTTGTGTTTTGTGCTGTCGTAAAACCCACGTGTCCAGCCGGGAGGCTGCCAGAGCGGAGAGCCCAGGAGCCGGGACGCGGCGGCCGAGCGCAGCAGCCCACGGCGGCTCAGTCCGGCGCCAGGGTCCCCCGCGCTCCCGCGCGCTCGGCAGAACCACTCTCGCGCCCTCCGCGGGCCTCCAGACCGTTCGCTCGCGGCCGGGGCGGGTTCCGCGGGGCCGGATCTCTAGGGCTCCCCTCCCACGCTGCCCAGGGGCATGTAGCGCCCGCGGGGGGCACACTCCCGCACGCTCGCCCAAACACGCGCGCTCGCACCCGCCGCGGGCTCCGAGTTTTCTGGTAAGGCGAGGCTCGCCCAGGGCCGAGGGTCTTGGGCCCCAGGGATAGGAGGCTGGATGTCCCGGGCTGGGGGCGGGGGGCGAGACTGTCCCGCCTCCTGGCGCCGGAGGCCCCCGCGGCTCGGGCGCTGCGCCACTCCGGCTCGGGTCGGCTCCGGGAGCCGGCCGAGGGCGGGGGCCGCGTCCCGCAGCCGAGTCCTGCGGGGAAGCGCCCTCTCGCCGGGCTCCGACAGCGCAGGGTGGGAGCCGGGCGCCTCGGGCTGGCGGCAAGGCAGCGTGCACACAGCTCCCTCCGCCCAGCGCCCCGGCTTCAGAGTAAACTTTGCGCCCCGGCGGAGCTGGGCGGAGGGACCGCGGAACCGGGCTGCCGCTGGGGGGCCCAAGGCTCAGCTCTCGCTCCAGGGTCTCGGCGGCCGTGCTCTCTGTCCCTCGCTCCTGGCCCTGCGCCCCGCTCACGCTCTCCCTCTTCTCTGCCCTCTGCCCTGCCAGCTGGAGGCGTCGGACATGCTGAAGCCCGGGGACCCCGGCGGCTCGGCCTTCCTCAAGGTGGACCCAGCCTATCTGCAGCACTGGCAGCACCTCTTCCCGCACGGCGGCGGCGGAGGCCCGCTTAAGGGCAGCGGCGCCGGGGTTCCCCTGGGCGCGCCGCAGCCCCTCCAGCCGCCGCCGCCGCCGCCGCTGCCCCCGGAGCGCGTTGAGCCTTCACCGGACAGCCTGCGCCCGCGGCCCGCGTCGCTCTCCTCCGCCTCCTCCACACCGGCTTCCTCCTCCACCTCGGCCTCCTCGGCCTCCTCCTGCGCCGCCGCCGCCGCGCTGGCCGGTCTCTCGGCCCTGCCCGTGGCGCAGCTGCCGGTGTTCGCGCCCCTGGCCGCCGCCACCGTCGCCGCAGAGCCGCTGCCCCCCAAAGACCTGTGCCTCAGCGCCGCCTCGGGCGCGGGGCCCTCCAAGTGCGGCGCCGGCGGGGATGGTCGGGGCACTTCGCGCTTCCGCTGCAGCGCCGAGGAGCTGGACTATTACCTGTACGGCCAGCAGCGCATGGAGATCATCCCGCTCAACCAGCACACCAGCGACCCCAACAACCGTACGTAGCCGCAGCCCGCGCACTCTCTCCCGGGGCGCGGGCGCCCGTCGGGAGGCGGGTCGGATGAGGGGCACCCGGTGGTGGGCTGGTCCAGGCCGCGAGCCGGCACCTTTCAGACCACGGTGGCAAAAGTTGTCTGGCGTTAGGGAAGAAGGCGAGCGGATGGGAAGGCCTTGTGGCACCTCGGGGTTACCTCCTCCTCCAACCCTGCTTCGAAGCCTCAATTCAGTAGGACCCGGGATGCTCTAAGCCCCGGGGCGCACAGATCTCGGCCCTCCCGCGTGGTAGCGTCCCAGGCCGGGCGGGTGCTGGCAGCGCGCGGTGGGATGGGCCCGTGCCCGGGCCTAAGCTGGCCTGGCCTTAGAGGGGACAAGGGAGGGACCCTTAGCATTTCTGGGGAGCATGGAGTCCAGGACTAGTTTCTCCTCCTCTCTCTCTTACCTCTGGAGTTAACTGCGACAGCTCATTTTTGGGGCCCTGGCCTGGAGCCGCCGACTGGCCGGCCCCACTGGAGTAAGAGTTTGGGATGGCGCTGGGTCCGTCACTCTGTAGGCAGGCGTTATTCTTCGGTTTACTATTTATTTAGCAAAGGAGGCGTGGGGGGTGGGGGTGGAAATGCCAGCTGCTTAGTGAGAAAAAATTTCCGACTACAGAGCAGGGTCATTCTCTGCAAATCCCGCATTCTCCGTGCACCCTTAATCTGTACATATTTGCAATCTTGTAGCCACGCTTGTTTGCTTACTTATTTTTTTAAATGAGGGCAGCAGTCATTTAGTATTCGACGCTTGCTCTCTTTGTCCCCAAGTAAATGGCAAATGCCTAATTAGCCACCAGGTCTCTTTCTAGCTTCCGTTCCTGTATTCACAGTTTCAAACACTTATTACAAGTACAGTTCCATTTCGAGGTTTGGAGGCAGAGTTCTAAATAAAGACCAAGAATGTGTATTGCTTTGTATCTAATTCATTTTGGTAATTTCAGAAGTTATGATATGTTTATACCTAAGGTGTTGGGGTAAATGATAAATATACTTCCAGAGACCTCTAGAGAGAACTTTAACGCATGTTAAGAGACTCAGGTTTAAAGCAATATGGCATTTGAAAGAGCAGCACCCACTCAGCTATATTCTTAATCTCATCCCTTCATCTAGCTTCTGTAGGAGGAAAGTTGATCATAAACATGTGTTATCATTTTATTTTAAATAAGTCCCTTCTTGCAGAATATCTACCACTCTGTGGACCTCTTAATTCGTTGTAAAAGCAAAAAAAAAAAAAAAAAAAAAACCACTACAGGTCATAGTTACTTAAAGGACTCCCAAGTCATTACTTTGATGAAATACACTGCCTGAGCCTAGTGATGGAGGTTTATCAATCCTTTCATAATGGTTGGAGATTATCGTTCTGATGGAGATAATTATTAACAAAAAGAGAAGTTGTATTTACTTTTCCCCTTCTACAGTCTGAGGATAAAGAACTGATTTAAAAGGAGGGTTTCAACTCGAATTTGCTCTGCGGTTAAAGAAGACTCTTGTTATTTTGGAGTTTTGGAAAATTTTATAAAATTGCATTATCTTAATGAAGTTTCAAAAATACTTATCTCCTACTGCATTGCTTGAATATGTCATTTTCAGAACAGTTCTTTAAAAATGTGAAATAAAAGATAAGAAGTGCTTTGGAAACAGCATTTCTTACAGTTAAGTGAAATATAGTCATGGTGGCTGAGACTACTTGATCAAGCTTGCAGTTTCTCTTCTGAATTAAGTCAGTGCTGGAAAAGACACCAGCATGTGCACCCCCAAAGCCCTGGCTTGCACTGTGTTCCTTGTACTGTTTACAGTGCTGTCTTGAGGTTCAATACATTTTAACCAGAGAAAAACCTAGACTAACCAGAGAAAGAGTTGGGATAGATTCCTAATTAATATGTGGCTATTGAACCAGTTTATTGCCTAGGTAACATTTTTCCTCTGGTTGGAGGAAATGAATTATGATTTATTTAAGTTATTCCTACTGTGTTAATCTTCTGGTATCTCCTTTTCAGTTGAGTGGACTGTGTCCATGTGCGTAGTGCAAGGGAAAAGAAGGGAAAGGAGTCAGATTGTGCTATTACAGTTATGTTTCACGTTGTTCCCTAATTAAAGGGCAATTGAGACAGAAAATAGAAAGCTGAGGTAACACTGTGTCATGCTGGGAGACCAGGAAGGTCTCCCATTTTTTCAGGAACTACCCAGGGCAAGAGTACACTCTGATTTGAAACCATGGGATGTGTTTTACAAGGATGAAGTGAAAAGTAATGTGAGTTTAATCTAACTAGGGACCAAAACAAATCAGAACTTGCAAAGGGTGGGAAATTCTTTTTTCCTTTAGCAAGAGTAGTTGATATGTTACATGAAAACTGAAAAACAGAGCTTCTCCCCATTTCTAGGTTGTATATGGGTGGGGATGGTGAGAGGGGGGTAGAAGGAAAGCACCTATTAATTTGTCATGCCTAGGTTTTCATAGGTTTTTTTAGTCTATTGCCATCTCCCTCTAAAAGAATGCTGTGAAGTGACCAGTTAGCATTGCTTTATTTTATTACATATATTGCTTGCATTGAGTCATTTTCTTTTTTTCTGGCAAGGCAAAGAAAAGGGCCTCCTTGCTTGCTGTTTTCCCTTAGAAGAGTAACTTTTTGCCTGGGATCAGTAACACTTGTGAATCAGCAACACTAGTTTCACCTTGAGACTTTATTGGCATCTATGACAGAGGCAGGGTGAAAGGTTTTGTAGTTTCTTTTTTTCACACAAAAAGATTTTAAAACAGCAGAAACTGTACAAGCTGCCTGGGTGAGCTCTTCCAATATATATCTCTGTTATCTAATTCCATGTATTAATTTATTCTATGATTGAAGTACACTTTGCACTGAAGCTCTCAACACTTAATTGCCTCTTTCATCTCTGTTTCGTGGGTGGGGTGTTGTGGAATATAAATGGAGATTGGAACCTTTTCTTCCTCTTCTATTACTGACCTCCTTTGCTGCTGGACTGTTTGAAGCCTCAGATTCCCTCACAGTGGCTGCTGATGGGGTTCTCCGACCTAGTGGTTGTTTGAACCCTCGTTTCTCTGCTCTTGGAGGGCAGTGAGAGGCCGCCAAGGTGTGCTGGGCGTTAGTGTTTGGAAGGATGATGCTGGGCACTCCCTATGTTCCTCTCTCACACCTGGGAGCCGGGTGGGAAGCTGACCCGAGGATCTGTCTGCGAAGAGTGGGGCACTGTGCAGCTTCCCCAGCTGAAGGTCTCGGTCTGCTTCCATTCATGGGGAGCCCTGTGTGCAGGGAACAGCGTTCGGAACAGCGACGGAGTGTACACTAGCGTAGCAGTAGGACCCGAGGCTCTCACGCCGGTGGCTCCACCCTCCTAAGGGTTTGGGGAGCGGGGACGGGCGAGAGATGGAAATCTGGGGTTTGTCCAGTAGACGGGTCGGGGAAAGAGTTAAAAGGAGGGAGAGTACTTTCTTTCCTTCCCAATCTCTTCCCACCCAGAAGGCAACACTTCCCTCTTTGGGAGGCTCCTAAGCCCACCAACCCTCCAGCGGGCTCTTCCTGCCGCCGAGGCGCACGCCGCGCTCCTCCCGCCCAGCCGCGCTGCTCTCGGGGGCCGGCGGGGGACTCAGACTTCGGACCTGGTCCCTGGTGGTGGGCACGTTCGGCGTCAATGTGCGGGCTTTTCTGTTGTCCTATTTTTCTTTTTCTCTCTTCTCTCTTTTTGTGTGCAAGCTCAGCCCCTCCCCGTTACACACATGATTTAGCTATTTTTATTTTACATCATTCGTTATCTAGCGCCCCGAAACTGAACATAGAGCCATATATTAGATTGAGGTTAGAAGAGGTGGCGACTGTTTATTTAAGGTGATAAAATGGTCCATCAGCAGTAATCTCCATCGATATGTGCCACCAGGAGATGAAGGATGAGGGGACAAGCCACAATTAATTGCCCTATAGTTTTGTAGAAGAGAGTGGAGCCAGCGCGGACCCGCTTCGATCTCCTCTCGCGCCTCCTATTCATCATCTCAGCCTCGCATACGGCGGCCTCGCAGGGGCAGGGGCCGGCGAGGTTTATCTCGGCGGAATATTCCCCCACCCTCACGCCCCGCGCTCCCATTTAATTTATTAATACAGTCATCGGGAGACAAAATGCACATTGCTTCCCTACGTCTGTCTTTCGCTCACCCTTTTGTCTCTCCGTCTTGGTCCCAGGGCCAAGCCAGCCGCCAGGCCAGGCACGGAAAACCCGGCGCGTCTGCGATTCGCGGGGACCTTTAAACTTGCGCAGGGAGCATCCTGGAGAAGGTTCTGCGCGACCACAATTGTCTCCACTTCCCGGCGGCCGCGCTAACCTGCCTCGCCTCTGGATCTGCTTCCAGACCCACCGGGGGAGCCTAAGGAAAGACCCCTGCTGGGTGGAGGGGAGGCCTAGGGCTGCCAGGGCGCGGCAGGGGGCTCCGGACGGTTGTGGCGGCGGCCACGTCGGGGCTTGTGAGAAAGCCCTTTGCCCGCAGGAGGGTGCCGAGGCCTTCACAAGTTAGACGTAGGTGCGGGGTCTCCGGCCGGCCGTCAAGGCCTGGCCGCCCACCCCACGCATGGTCCCGTTCCCGTCCCGTCCAGCCAACTGTGCGGGCCGGGCTGGGGGGAGAGGCCAGGGTTGGGGGAGGCGAAACCCTGGTGCGGGAAGCTCCCGGCCGCTGCGCTCGGCCTGCCTTCTGCCCTGGCGGGCAGCCCCCGGCGACCCCGCGGCCCACCCCGCCGGTGCACGGGCCCAGAGCGCACGCGGTACTGCCAGCAGGCGGCACTCCTGGGGTCGCGTCCCCGGGCGGGGATCGATGGGCGCCGGCCCCGCCGGGCTCGGCCTGCCGGACTGAGGGCCGCGACCTCAGCGGCGATTCCAGAGGATTTATGGTCTAGCTGTTACCCCCGCCCGGGCGGGGAGGCAGGCTTCTCAGCTGCGACTTGGTTTCCTTAGATCCAGAGAACTGGTGAGGGCAGGCGAAGAGGTTAAGGAGCAGAGACCTGGCGTGGCGTGGGTTCCAGCCCCCGTGGTCCCGGCTCCGTCTGTCCCTACACGCTCCTGTCCGCCTGTCCAAAAAATCCCTGAAACGTTTTACATTTCATCTTTCCTCGTATGAGAAGTGAATGCCAGAAAAGAAAACCACAGCCTGCTTTGTCCCCTTTACCTTGAAATAGATCTATTTGCAATTACAAAGGTAGCATGTGCACTAGTAAAAATAAACAATACAGGACAGGACAGAAGAGTGACAGTCTGCCTTCTACTCTACTCCGCCCGGCCTTCAGTAGGTGAGCGAGTCTCATTCAAGGACCATAAACAGAAGCATTAACAGATCTATTTAAACTGGAACAGGGACCATGATTTCATACAATTTCCTAATGCAGAAATAGCATTGCAAAGTATCTTGCTGGGGGAATTTGGTATTTCTCACAGATACAGAAAACTCTTATAAAAAAAAATGATGAACTTGTACAAAACCTTACCCTGGTTTTAAGAGAAGTAAGAACATTTATTTGCCTCCTCTTTACAGATACAAATTTGTATGGAATGCTTTATGTGTTATAATACATACGTGTTTTTTTAAATGTGTAGTTTGGGCATCTAGCCCCTGTGTCCCTCAAACCTTTCATGTAGGTGTTTATGGCTGGTTGTCTAGAAAACACTTTCGTAGAATGTTTGTCTATTTCCACCACATTTGTCAACCCTTGAGTAATCAGTTACTTTGTTTAAACATCTTCAAGCTCCTTTGTTACTCTGAGACATAAGTCAGAGCCAAATATTTTCAGTGGTGGAGGTTTTGTGTATTAAAACGTAATAACTTTAGGGTATGACATGTATTTTGATGTAACTGGTCAACTTCTCTGGCAGAATATTTTGATATAGCATGCAGTGGCTTATGAACTAAGAAGACTCCTGTTGGGTGGACTAATTAAAGTGGATTGGCCTTCCCTACTCTGCCGTGGACATAACATATAGGTAGTCTACACATTAGGAGAGCCTCAGCTTTTTACTCTGCAAAATTCTATTAAGTTTCTCCAACACCTTGTGGAGACAAATGAAACTTAGGAGGTTGAAGAGGGCTTTAGAGGACTTCCTGGAGAGAGGAGTGGGCAGAGTTCTATCATGTGTAACAAATCCCAGGAGTGTGCTTGCTGACTGTGGGAATGGTGGCTGAAGCTGGTACTTTTGCTTCTCATTTTATTACTGATGCAGCTGGTGCAGTATGACATGTTGTACAGATGTTGGATTGACAGAATCATTGGTATGGACTGTTAGGGGAGTGAGCACCAAACGCTCTTGATTCTCACCCTTTGTTTCATTGAGCCAACCAAAATGGGAATGGTAGTTAAGCACCTCCCAGGGTGATTTCTTTTTATTTTTAGGGGCTCATTGCCTATGCGTATTTTCATTTGTTTTAAGCTATTTCTTGCTAAGGTGCTGAAAGGTGCCTATCTCTGAAGGCAAGCACTAAAATTCAAAATTATGGATGTAATCTGTTTACCTTCCAATTCATTCTCTTCACCTCCCCAAATACAAGAGTGTGCAAAAGAGAGAAATCTCTGGAATTCAGTCATGCAATAGCAATTTCTGTGGCCCCAAAATAGTGAGTTAGTGAACTATTTCAATTCTATTGATTGAGTTTATGCATTTGGCATTTGGATATAAAAGTCTCACAGCTTTCATTATTCTTCCTAGATTCTAGGGTTGGAGGCTTTGGAGTCAGTCAGAACCTGACTGAATATTTCTCCACCACTTTCTAGTTTCTGGCTCCTGGGCAAGTTACATTGTTCATGAAGCCTTAATTGCATCATCTGCAAAACAAGAATCATGATACTTAGACAACATGGTGATTGTTTGGTTCAAGACAGGTGTCTGGCACATAGTAGGCACTTGGTGATTATGAATTTGTATTGTCCCTCTTTCCAGTTCCCCTTTGTCTTGGAGGTTTTATTTTCACAGAGGCTTGAGAGGGTGTGTGGAGTATATATTCTGGAGGGGTTGACATATGGATGGGGTTGGAGTACCTGCTATCCAGGCTCTAAGGGTCAGATTCAGAGCCTGATGCTGTTTTTACATTAGTTTGTGTTGCTTGGGGGCGTAGGGGGAGCTTTATGTGTTGGAGGTTCCTGGGCCCTGGGGAGGACTGGGAGAGTAGCAGACTGGGGGGAAAGCACAGCCCACTGGACCCCCTGGATCCCTTCTGACTGACATAGGATGTTCACATGTCAGCCCTCAGCTCCCTGTGAAACAAATGGAGGAACAAGTTTTCGCTCACTGTGCTGAGCTGCCACGAGGTGTTTCTTAGTGGAAGACTCCTCAGTGACTCACTTTGTCAGGAGGTCCTTGGGCGGCAGACTGTTGCTGCAGGGGTAGGGCACACCCGGGGTGAGCCACCAGGACGGGTTACAACCAAGCCAGCTGCAGGTACTGGGAGGCCCTGAGGGTGACCCGCCGCCCAGCGCTGGTTCATCTGCCTGTGCCCAGCTCTGGCCATCTCCATCTCTGCCAGTCGGGACTCGCCGGATACCAGGCCCAGCACCACAGGGCTGGGTTGCACCGGCCGCCGCGGCTCCCCAGGAAGGTTGGGCCAGGAGGCGGGGTGGTGCAAGCGGGCACTGAGGCCTCCTCCCTGAAGCAGGTCCCCCTGGCCGGGCGCAGACATCGCGGCTCCGTCGGGCCCATTAATAACCTGGAGGGAGCTGGGATCCGACAGCTCGGTCGCCGCAGGCCCTGTTTCCCGCGGCTGCCCGGCCTCTTCCGGCCCAGTTTGTGTGGGGGGACCCTGGGCATCCGCAGAGACTGGCCAGGAAGATGGGGGACCCCTCGCACGCGGGCTGCTCTGGGGAACGTGGGAGAGAGCCTGCTTCATGACAGCTCTCACTTTGCTTATCAATTGCATTTAGCTTTGGGGATCAGCCATCTGGGCGGGAGTTGGGGCTCTCTCTCTCTCTCTTGAGCCATTATCCTGATCAGTAAAGACCCATTACTCCGACTGTTAAACTTGCTGTTGGTTCCTTTTTGGCTTCTGGGATGGGCTAGCACGCAGGCACAGGCACCCCAACCCCGCTAGAACAGCCCCACTTACCCACCCATACCCCCCTGGTGCCCTTGAGGGACCTCATTGCCTTTGCGCCGGGGCTGCGGGGGCTGGGGCTCGGGTCACGCGGGCCAAGGCCGGCTCCGCCTTCCCGTGCGCGGTCCCGGGGAGTGGAAATGGCGTGCCACGCTGATCGCCCACCTGCTTTGGTGATTTTTAAAGTCTCCACTTTAATTGTATAAAGAGGAAAGTCAATGTATACCCGTAAGACCAAGGTAGACTCACTGCGAGCTGTCAGAGCAAGGGACGGGCTTTTTTCGCGGCGTAAGGACAAACTCGCCTTGAACACCGTGTGGGGAGAGAACCCGCGGGAGCAGGGGAGGATCAGAGGGAGCTGGGGACGGAAGGGAGGAGGGAAAGAGGGAGCCCTTGGTTCCGCGGAAAGGACAACCGTGCCGACAGCACCCGGCTCGGAAGGCCTTTGGGGGCGCCTGGGGTCTCGACTCGGTACAGCTGGATTCGTGTGCGGCAGATTCCAAGGGAGCGGCGCGGGTTTCCTTCGCCCCATTCCCGGCGGCCTCGGGGCCCTCACGGCGTCTCCTCCCTCGCAGGTGGCTTATCCAGGAGGGGATGCTGTGGTTTCAGGGGTTTACCTGAGTATGGGCTGCCCGGAGCCGCCGGGTTAACCGTCTCCCCTCCCTCCCCTCACCTGTCTCCAACAGGTTGCGACATGTGTGCGGACAACCGCAACGGGGAGTGCCCCATGCACGGGCCGCTGCACTCGCTGCGCCGGCTCGTGGGCACCAGCAGCGCCGCGGCCGCCGCGCCCCCGCCCGAGCTGCCCGAGTGGCTTCGGGACCTGCCGCGGGAGGTGTGCCTGTGCACCAGCACCGTGCCCGGACTGGCCTACGGCATCTGTGCGGCACAGAGGATCCAGCAGGGCACCTGGATTGGGCCCTTCCAGGGCGTCGTGCTGCCCCCAGAGAAGGTGCAAGCCGGCGCGGTGAGGAACACGCAACATCTCTGGGAGGTAAGTCTCCCGCCGCCCAGCACCTTGCATCCAGCCGGAGCCTTGGTGGGTGGCTACATCGGGGAGAGCCTCCCTTGTTTCCCCAAAGGTAGTAGAGATTAGATTTCTCAGGTCATGAAAATGCTTGGTGCATAAGGAGAGGTGCATAGCTGGGCCTGGCACAACAGGCCCTCCAGGGCCTACAGGTTTCTGCAGATGGTATCACCTTGACAAGCTTCTGTTCCAGCTGGGATGGATTTGACCGTTGGTCTCCCTGGATCTTTAGAGAACGAGAAACCAGCTGAGGAGATGGAGCAAAGTATAGCCTTGAGGTGTGAGCTAGGTGAACTTTGTGTCCTGTTCTAAGCTCTTCTAATAAGCTTTTGCACACTGGGCAAGAAGGAACATAAGCATACACAGGAGGAAGGAGAGCGAACCTCATTTTCCCAGATAAAAAAGTTTTGCAAATGCTGAATGTGAGAGACTGAAACGTTTCCTAACGTTCAAAGTACCCAAAGTAAGCAAATTATGTTGTGAGTCAGAAATCACAAACTTGGCTTCCTCTCCGACAAAGTACAATTACGCAGTCTTCAACAAGCTAGGAAACCAAAATGTAGAAAAGTCCAATCACTTTGTCATCATCCAACTGGTGATATTGGCAATGGCACAATCTTAACCTGCTGTTATTGTTTAAGAATAAGCAACTTCCTTGACAAATGTTCAGGTGAAATTTGTCCTAGAGTGTCGTTGTTGGTTACTGAGGTCCCTTTCCAAGGAGACAGACCCTTAGTGCAGGTAATCTCTGCCCCAGTGTTGGCCACCTCCCACCCCTGGAGTTACTGATGAAAGTCAAGATGCTGGAAGTCTTACCCTTGAGGGCAGCATGTAAATCTGGCCATTTGAGTCCAGGCCATGTAACGGAGTGGGAATAGGCGGAAAAGAAAGTTTCATAAATGCCAGCGACCAAGTTGGCATGGACCTTAGGGCTCTATTAATGGGTAATTTCTGTGGCAGCTCACCACACACTTGTCTCAGTGGCCTATCAAAATGATCATTTTATGGTGAGGTGCTTCATATTCACTAAAACTCATTTGACTCAATAATGCCCTCAAATTTTTGCTGAGATGCACTTGGAGATACAGTATTGTGAAAAACAGACCTGGTCTCCAGAACCCTTCATAACTAGGGGAACCGTGCCTGCAAAGCCTCCTTTGGTGCGGGAGGAGCTCAGTGTATGAGCTCACAGGCCGGCCAGCAGGCCAGGATGACCACCGGGTGGCCGTGGGCTACGTACCCCCATGCTCAGGCCCCCAGGTTCCACTTCACTCTTAAATTGGAAAACAGTTACACACTTTTAATCTTTCAGGATAGGATTCTTGAATGAGAAAAAAAAGTTGTGCATATTTGTTACCAGTTTTTTTTTATACAAAGTTTTATAGGAAAACAGGCTAGGAGAAAATGGCTTGGTACCTAGAGGCAGGCTGGAAGTCAGAGGTCTTGGATAGGAAAAACTGACAAGTGAGAAATAATCAAAGGATCTGATTTTGAAATATCTCCTAGTTGTTTTTTGTTTCTGACTAATTAGTTATAACTTTCAATGTGGTTTAAAGTTTATAAAATGCTTCCAGGCACTTTCCATGTTAAAGTGGTGCTATTAGGAACTCTAATACCATATGCAGTCAGAGGTCGGCCAATACTTTTCTGAATAAATCATAAAACAATTGTTCAGTGGCGCAGATTTGTTCTATCTGCAAATGTTAAAACTGAGCACTACTATAGTGCCTTCTGATACTCAGGTTTAGAGCCCATCAGTTTTTAGAGAGCCAGGGGACAAAACTGTAAACATGAAAAAAAATCCCAAGGCTCATCTTTTTTCTTTTTCTGAAAGCCCTTGGATGGTTGGGATGTTGGCAGGAGCCCACTGCACATACAGAATATGATGATATATTTTAATAGTGAAAACTATGAAGCCTTTCATTTGTACCTTTACTTACTTGTATTGATGAAGTTAAAATTCTGTTGAAAAAAGACTGGATAATTTAATCAGTTTTGTTGTTTACAGTTGATACTTGAGTAGCTATAAAGTGAGTCTGACCGGTTGTTTCGGGTATGTGAGTTGATGTGTTGGGGAGTGCCTAGACTTGGTTCTAGTTCATAAAAGACTTTGCTGAATGTATGCTTGAATGATCTACAGGTCTCTACTTCTAAATTCAGGACATAATCTACTTTTGTCATCTGTAAGAACAGTTAGAATGACTTGCGTTTAGGGGATTCATGAAGGGGTATTAAAACTGTAGCCATGCAAAATGTATCAGTCTAGTGGGAGATCATGTAAAATATGACTGACCAGGGCCAGGTAACTAAGTTAGTGCCAATGTTCATTTATAAGATAAAACACTTTAATAGGTTTCAGATTTTTATTAGTATAATTATTTTTAAGATAGAAAGCATGAGTTTATCTTTAATTTTAAGTATTATGATTCAGTATTTTTATGAAATGTGACTATTTGAATTATGTTAAATTTACAACAGAGGATTCTAAATGTTGGATTATTCCTTAAATTTTAGGCTTTCCTTTTAAACCTGAATTCCCTTGTGAAAAATTTTGATCATTAGATTATTTATATTAGAAAGAATTAGTAATTGGAATATACCACAGGTCTATAGAAAACTTCTGGCAATAATTGCTTAATGACTCATGTAGTAATTATCCATTTTTAAAACATATTCTTTTAGATATCTTCCAGAATATCACATCGGCTGATATTTTAAAAAATTAAAAGCAATGGAATCATGACCATTTCATTTTAAAAGGCAACTGGAATCATTTCTCTTCCTCACATTTTTTCAAGTCACTTGATGATGAAGAAATGTCTTTATATTTAGAGTTCAATACTCAGGTCCTGACGGATCTTACCAGAGTTACTTATCTTTATTTCGGTACAATAAATGGATTGCTAATCTTTCTCTGCCACTGTTTCCAAGTAGGTGATGGATTTTTGTTTCAGTTTACAGTTCATTGTTTTTAGTATGGTTGTATTTTATTATACACATACAGGCATATTATAGAAACAATCAGATTCACCTTAGTTACTCCTTTTGTTTAATCATTAAAAGCTCTATATCCTTTTTAGAAAATGACTTTTTAATATTTAACATATATCAGCCATGGAGAGCTTGTTTGATTGGTTTGTAAGTGTGCTATCAGCTTTTAGTTAATATTTCTTGTATAATCCTAGCTCTTAAAAATATGGGAACTTAAGGAAAGTTAAATATCATTCACTACTTTCAATATGTTTTGACTCTTTAAGGTTTTCTGGAAAGTTGTAAGAGTTTTCCTTTTTTTTAGCAAGAAGCCAAGGTAATATTTTAAGGAGATTGTTAATTGTTAAAAAAGGAGTTTAAGGAGATTAACAATCAAAATGCCGAATTACTCCTTTTTTTGGCCAATTTTTCTTTTGGAATCAGAACTTTATGTGTTTTACAAAAAATAATAAACTCAGATAATTTAAAACAAAAACATTACAGGATGGATTAAATAGTCACTTGCCCTGCTTCTATACATTTATTCCAACAAGACTTGGGTGCATGATATATTTCTAACTATTTGGACATAATGGGAAAAATCTTTCTGAACATTTTGTTAAGAAAACATAGTCTTTCTCAGCAATTAGGTCTTATTGATGAGAGTGAGATAATTTTGTCCTAATGTGTTTTCTAATAAAGAAGTGAAAAGGGACATTTGATCCCAACATTTATGAAAACATTATCTCAATTATTAATGTGCTGTTTTTCCCTTGAGATAAATTAATCTAGTTAGCACATGGTTTCCCCCTTTCTGCTTAACATCAGAATTTAATATGACTGAACCTGAGGAATGTACATAGTGTATACTTAAGATTCTACTGGAATGAAATACAGAAGTTTAAAATAATGTTACGGTTTTAGATAGGCTAAAATTAGGCCTTTCAACTGAAAGTTTGATTTGACAAGAAATTTTGGCAACAATAACAAAATAGATTGTACTCATTTTCACCCTGGAAAAATTATTCTGCTAATTGAAATAATATAGTGACTTATTAGGATCATAGTCAAGGGACTAGAAAGGGATTTAATTTTATAGAACCTGTCTTCTCTGTGCCTGAGTAAATGTGAGCATTTCATTTTCATTTGTACCATGTAGAAAACTTCATTATTTTTCTTTAGAACATAAAGGGAGATAATGTCCTTTTTTGTGGTTTGATACTGTGTGGCAGTATTTTAGATTTAATAAGAAATTTGCTTTAAGCAAATGGTCTATTTTATATCACTACCATTTAGCTTAGGTCAAAAGACAATAATGAAACCAGTATTAAAAATATAGTACATGTTGCTAAATGTGTATTTATTTCAAAACCATCACAGATAATTAGTACTAGAAGGAAATGAATTGATTTCATATTTTAAATATATTAATGTATATTTCTATAAATGACCCAATTCCCATATAGTACTGTACCCATTTGTATATATTTAGATGTTGAGAAAAAAATAGCCAAAAATTAATCACTTTAAATTAAAATCATTTAAAAATTAAATTGCACTTATTTAAAAATTGTTCCAGTGATAGTACTGTAACTATCTACTCCATATTTTGCTTTGCAGACTTTGGCTCATTTTGGTTTGATTCGCCAAAAGCCAGGGGATGGAAATATGTGGAGTAAAAATTGTGTTACAGTTATACTGAAATAAAAATTGTGTTTCTTAGCAATTTGTCATATAATATATTAGACTGCTTGTCAGTGTGCTTTTGAATATTTGAGTTTCTCAAAAATCCAAATAATTTCTCCTTAAAAATAAACCATAGCAATGTTATGATTATGTTTTAAATTATTCAGAGTAACAGCTGGTGTATCTCTCTGGCTTTGCCTCATTTGATTTGAAGATGTCTTTTATAGTGGTGCCCATTTGATAGAGTGTGAGCATTTTGTAGTTTTACATAAACTGTAAAACCATCTGCTGCCTCTTGGAATGGTTTCCAG